TCCTTTTTGAAATAGTTTTATTTACTTTGTAGACGTTGGCAAATATTTGATTTTATGTTAACCTGTGCAACAGAGCCACAGCCTGTCACTGTGCTGCCATAGGAACAACTGCTTTCCCTTTCTGTTGGACGGAAGAGACAACCCAGGCACCTTCCACAGCTGTGAGTGCGGCTTTATTAACACTTGATAGATAAGGGTTAGTTGTGAGGGGGCGGTTTGGGCTTCAGCCTTTCCGCTGTTGCTATAAGCATGCTTGGTTTGAGGGATTGCTTTCAAGTCAATAAGTCAAATCACTGAGACAGTTTTATAAACACTGATGAAACTCAGGCGTTTTATAAAGATTCAGACTCACCTGAGAGATTTCACTGAACTCTATTTCTGCAGTAGGACCTGAAAAACATTCAGATCAGAGCTGAAACTGCTGATTTCCAGAGATTAGGAGACTTTCCAGGAACTAGAAACAAAATCCTAGAAAACGTGTTCAGTATCAGGCTGATCTGCTGATTGATGCTCAGAGCAGATTTTGATCTGAAGCAACAAACAGAAATAATCTGCAGAAATGAAGCAGCTGAAACATCAACACACTTAAATGTTCATAAATATTTCTCATCCTCTTCAGTCAGATTCTATAGTTTAACTACTGCCTTCTCAGGGATCCTCAGCTTGATACTTTGCTGATTGTTCAGATCCATTTAATAGTTTATGAAATGTTTGAGTGTTTTGTTTTTCCTCACCACCTTCCTGCAGAAAATCACCAAAGGTGTTGAAAAAAGGATGATCTTGGCGACCAGAGACAGAAGCACATAGAGCAGCAGACCTGCAGTGGATTTAACAAGAGAACAGTTTGGTTTTATTCTGACAAAGTGAGAAATGAGGCGTATCAGACTCTTCTTATCCAACAGCTGATGATCTTCATCATTGTTCCCGTGTGTTCATGAACGTCCCTTTGGTTTTATGATAAAAGAAGGTCAATACTTTATGCTGTTTGAACAATCTATGGGACGTTAAAGTTTGCAGCATAAAGAGCTAAAACAATGATGAATTTGGTCAAACAAGAAACCAAATGTGGTTTGGCACAGGAAACAATAAAGAAGTTTCATTTTTAAGTAAGAGTCTTTGTTTAGAGTGATCTCAGTAACGTTCATACATAACTGATGGTTAATTTCAATGTTTTAGTCCTGGTTGTTCCAAATAACTGATAAAAACACAATCATTCACTGCTCATTCCATTTTACAGTTAATTTATTGTTTTTATTTGTCTTTTAAGTTTATTTAAAACTGCTTTTTGTTTAAATTTGTCACAATGTATAGCTTTTCAACTTTTACTGTAAATTAGCTGCTGTGCATGTCATGAACCGAGGAAATGTGGACCCAGTATTCAAGGAGAGACAGTCAGTAGGAAAGTTCAAAACGTTTATTAAATAAACAAACAAAACAAAAGCAGAGCTGTGGCTCGCGGACACTGCAGGCGGGGGGGCGGGGCACCGCCCAATCTCAGACACTCTGGTTTAACAGTCCAGACCAAGAATGTCCCCAGTGCTGCAGTCCCAGAGGTCATGCTGGAAGCCGATCCTGGTCAGGGATCCAGAACAGACAGAAACAGGATCCAGATCAGGCAGGAACAGAAACAGGTGGCAGGATCCAGACTTCCAGGCATCCACAGGCTCCCAGGAGGGTTCAGAGTCTGACTGGGACCAGAAGCATGACCAGGTGGTCACACACAGGAGCAGACAGGATCAGATGCAGACAGGCAGGCACAGTGGAAGAGGGTAGCCGAGACAGGACGTGGAACCGGAGCTTGAAGCAGGACTTTAAACTGGTCTCCTCCCTGGAGTCAGGCTTACTGGATAAAAACTGAACCTCCCCACATATTGAGCCAAAAATCCAGAGGACTCCGCAGGGGAGGAACAGTGGATGATTAGGAGACGAGACAAACACTAAAACCCTCTTTCCACTGGCTGCCAGGATCCAGGACACGAACCAAGAACTAAAACTAAACAGAAAGACTGACAGAAAGACAAGAAATGATCTGGCCCTGAATACTCAGGGAGAACTGAATATAAACCAGAGGAAACAGGTGAGAGGAATAAATTGTAATTGAGGCAGGGAGGGAAAACGGCAGGTGAGAGGAATTACTAATTACGGAGGAGCAAACAGGCCAGATCATGACAATGCAGATGATACGTTCATCTATCTTCTCCTGCTTAATCGGTTAGGATCATGGTTGGGCTGGTTCCTATCTCCAGCAATCTATAGGTGCAAGGCGGGGTTCACATTAGACAGGTCGCCAGTCTGTCAGAGGCAGATGACACTACGATTATCAAATTATTTTAGTATATGAGGCTCATTTATTTATTTATTTTTCGTTTGTTCTGTTAAGCCCTATGGCAGCAGAACTGAAGTCGGGGACTGTGCTGTTGTGCCATATGCCATGATCATTGTCAGGACTCCTGTTTTTGTGTCTGTGTTTCTGTGTTTGTCTCCCTTCATCCACTAGGAGGCGCCTGGTTCTTGTACGCTTCCTCACACACCTGCTGATGGTTTCCTCGTAAATGGCGTGTTCTTAAGCTGCTGACTGCCACTACTTCTACGCCAGAGTGTTTGCCAGTTTAGGGTACTCTAGCCAAGCTGAGTTTGCTGAGTCAATCTGAGTTTTTGTCAACCTTGAGTTTAACTTTGTTTGTCTTTGCCTCTCGGCAGGAAGTTGTCCTGCTAACTGGATTTCTCTGACCTTCTGTCCATGGAAGGATCAACTGAGCTTCAAACTGAGCCGGGGTTCAAACAGGAGGTTTGGATCCACTTTCCCCAAGAGATCATTTGAGCTTCACACTGAGAAAGGGATTATTCTCCACTACGGTTCAAGTACTGCAGGAAATCTGAGTGGCAGTCAGTATCTCCGTTCTCCAACTTTGAACCCCAGTCTGGGTAAAACCTGTTCAAACATTGGAACCAAGGCACACAGACAGGAGTCAAGGATACAACAACTTCACTGGAAACGTGAGTCGGCAACCAAAACCTCTCCAAGTTTCACGAGTCAAATTCCCCACTGAGCCTGAACTAACCGCTGTGTCTTCCCCTCACTCTACAGTTCCGGTTGAGCAGTGTTCAGAGCAACACTTCTCCCTCTGTTTTACTTCTTTGATAAAACCCGTTAAACCTTTTCCCTGGACTCTCTGTTCGGTTATCTGCATTTTTGGGTCAGAACTTTGTAACGTCATGACATCATGGTTTTTGGACATTGGGAGCCAGTGTCCAGGTAAAGAATATTTTGACTAAAGGTTTCTTATTAAGCAAATCATTTAATAAAACATTATTTGGCCAAATAATGTTTTATTCACATCATGGATTTGCATTGTGAATTGGTCTGGAAATTCCAATTTCTTTAAAATTAGTGAAAAGCTAATTTGATCATATCCCAAATTCTTCCAGATAAACTTCGGTTTTCAAGCACAAAATCCATCTTAAACTGTAATATGGTTCTCAGCCATGTTCCTCTTCCTCTTTGTACATAGTTGTTTAGTTTAATTGAGTTTTAAAATGAAATATGTTTGACTTGGAGCTGAATGCCATCCATCTCCATCCATCCATCCATGGATGGAGATAGATGATTTTTGTTAATAAACTCATATTTTGAAGAGAAGTTGTGGTGAATTTATTCCATGTATGTGTAGAATTAACTGTTTGTCCATGATTAGTGCTCGACTCACTCTTTCATTTATTGTTCTAACACAAAGCAAGGAGGGCGTGTGTTCACAAACGATATATAACAGCCGAAATAATATCTGATTAAATAAGATATTTACCAGCCCTACTGGGGAGGGCAATAAACCACTTAAAGTGTCAGAAATATAAATCCCCAGCTGGCTGGGAATTGATAAGAATGTAAATCCACAACAATAACGTGGCATCCCTGGATGAGCAGTGAAAATAAAATCACAACAGTGCCATGCTGGACAAATAATAGAATCTTGCTTATTGAACATAATAATGTCAATGCTTAGATTTCTGATAATAACATTGATGTATTTGTCTTACAGAAACTTGGCTGCAGCAAGAGGATTATTCATTTAACTCCTTGTTATTTACATTTTATTATGACAAGAAAATCAAGGGGGGAAGAGGAAGAAGAGTTGCAACAATCTTTCTGTCTGCTTTATTGGTTTGTCCAAAGCCAATTGATAAAACAGACAAAACAGAAGTTATTGGATTTGCATCTGAGTCCTTGTAAATAAGACTAGTTAGTCAGTTGCTCCGTTGGCTAGAAATAATTAGCCTACAACAATATTGTGTAAAACCATGGTGTTATTTTTGATCAGGACTTGTCCTTTAACATATTGAATAGATTTATACTTTCATTCTATCAACTTCAGAACATTGCAAAATTATAAATATCTTTTTCAGGAGTGACGTAGAAAAGCAAATCATTCCAGTTGTTAAATCAGTGATATTCTATTAGATATAAGGAAGTCTAAAACATGTAGTTAAAACACAATCTCGACAGCTTTGGTAACTATTGTCCGATTTCAAAGCTGCCTTTTCTCAGTAAATTACTAAAGAAAACTGTGTTTTAATTCTTTTCTTCCTAGTTTTAGTAAATTCCTCTCTGTTGAAACATCATCATTATAATAATACAGTTAAAAAATAAAATAAAATAAAATGTAAGTGTGGGGTTAAGGGTTTTGCTCAGGGACCCAGATTGCAGGCTGTGGGGATCAGGCCGGTTACTTTCAGCATTGTCAAACCACAAGTGCACCCACTAGGCCAACACTCCCCCAATAATAATAATAATAATAATAATAATAATAATAATTATTATTATTATTATTATTATTATTATTATTATTATTATTATTATTATTATTATTATTATTATTATTATTATTATTATTATTATTATTATTATTGAGCAAATCCATCGAACAGGATTCGTGCTACAAACACTCCGGTACAGTAGGGGGCGGTGTGCACCTTAAAGTGAGAGTTGCAGTCTGCCGTGAAGCACAACGAAGAAGAAATGGGTGCGCTCGGTTTGTGTTTCAGCATCTGCCGGATGAGCTTACAGCACTTGTATGCTGCAGTTGCCATGACCACTTTCATACCAGATGAAATAAAAGCTTTAAAGCAAATGTTTAAAGGGCGATAGCCGCCTTTGCTGCTCTGTGGGATCGACCTGATAAAGGACTTTTAACGGGATAAAAATCGGGGTTTTGCAGACGGAAGAAGAACCCGCGGAGAATCGTTTCCTATCAAAATGGCCACCCCCTATGTGACAGATGAATCTGGTGAGGCTAAAACTGCATGTGGCAGAGATCTGTACGACTCAGAACTAATTATATTCATTATGCAGAAGCAGGGTTTCTTCTCCTATTGTTTTCTGGTGACATTAAGCAGAGTATTTGGTAACAAACGACCAATTTTAGTTAAATGTGAGGCATAGTGTTAGCTCAGATGCTAACTAGCAGGCTAGTTAGCTTGATGCTACCGCTCTGTCTGGCTTTAACCATGGAAACATTCAGCTGGACAGTAATTAATTTATAGTGAAATACAATCTATAACCAAGCGGACTCTGATTCTATCTTTGCTAAGTTATCTGATAGATAAATTATTGATTGTATGTTAATTCATTGTTTGTTTTTATGCCCTATTTTCTATTTATGATCTATTCTCTTAAAGTGACAGGACGAGTTCTGCAAAGCAGTTAGACTGAAGATGCGTTCATCTAGAAGCTACCTGTAGATCCTGGTTTAGATAAAGATTTTAAAGTTGAGGAAAGTTTCCTTCAGGCTGGAAACTTTCTTCGAATGTTTTTATGTTTTAAAGCTAATGAATCTATTACTTTGGATATAGTTTACTAGAAAATGAGCACTTTTTTCAAGTTAAATCACATCCCGCATAAAAATAATGGTTTCATAATGTAATCGCTTACAGGTAGGCCTGCAACTAACGAATGTTTTCAAATTGATTCATCCGTCGATTATTTTTTCGATTAATTCAATAATCAGATAGAAAAAGGTTCCTTAAAGAAGACTTTTTACAAAGTGAAAACAGGAGGAACTAAAACTTTTCCCCTTGGATAGAGCAGATTGACAGAGACAGGTCGCTAGTCCATCCCAGGGCAACACAGAGACAAACAACTGTTCACATACACTCTCACACCTAAATAGAATTTAGAGAAGCCAGTTAACCTAACAGTCATGTTTCTGGACTGTGAGAGGAAGCCGGAGTACCTGGAGATAACCCATGTATGCTCAGGGAGAACATGCAAACTTCATGCAAGACCCCGGGCCAGGAATCGAACCCAGAGTACCTTCTTGCTGCAAGGCTGCAGTGCTACCCACTGTGCCACTGAGCAGCAAAATATTATTATGACAATTTTAGTATAATTGCTGCTCTCAGTTTGTTGCTCTCTCAATTAGAGGCATATTTTAGAGTCTCTATACTCAATTTAATGATGAATCAATTACTAAAATTGTTGACAGTTATTTCAGTAATTGATTAATCCGATTAATTGTTTCAGTCTTACTTACAGTCAACAAACCTGTGGGAGAAAGAAAAAAATTGCTGCAATATAAACTTCTGCCCCCTGCAGTGAAGATGCAGCTTCAGGAAAGACTTTTTGGAAGACATGATCAACATGTTAGATTTCTAACTAAAGTGTTATAATGAGATAATCAACACGTTAAACAGCCTTTGGATGGAGTTAAAATATACATTTAGTTTTTCTCCTTTCGATGTTGTCAGTTAAATAGTGATTCACACATGGAGCTCAGCTTTTGTTATACAAATCAGGCTTTTTTTTTAACAGTTTCCCATTTTCTCTGTAGTTCTTTGCTCCCAATTCTTTTATTCAGTAAGAATAACATTAAACCAACATTAAACATACATTCATCTTTAATTGTTTTCGGTTATTGCCATTAAAGCAAGGCTGAGCGATTTATATGTTAATCATATATTCTGTTTATGTAGATTTCATTTTTAAACAATAAAGGTTTTTTTTTTTTTTCCACCATCGTCCTCCTTGGCCCTCTGTAGCTCAGAGTTACATCCGTTCATCACCTTTTCTTCAGTGTCACCTCATAACTGAGAGACTTACTCAGTGTGGGATACAAACAACCGCAAACATTTTTTATTGCTTGTTGTGAAACACGATTGTTTTAAGGAATTTATCGCAGCTTGAATTTATTTCCATTTTAAATTAGGGCGGCCTTCCAGAGCGGACTATTGAAATGAAAGCTGGTTTTTCAAAGCAGTATATATTTCTATTACAGTTTTTTGTTTATTTTATTTAATTTATTTTTTTTAAACTCGGGAATAAGTGAAAAAAACAAGTAAAAAAAAGTCAAAGATACGATTTTGAAACCATGTTTCCCGGCACTAAAATAAAGTGACAAATATGGAAGAAATCAGAAATTATTTTCCATGTATATATCTTGAACTGCACTTTATATATATTTTTTTTCCCTGGTCCTTTACAAGAATCAAAGAATTTTCCCTAAAATCTAAATTGCGATTAATTTTTACCAGAATTGGGATTGGAAATTTTCTTTTGCACTAACCCGCAGTCCACTATCACAGCGCTGTGCTGCAACCATTGAATGAAGAAGTTTATTTCTACTTCCATGCATGGATCTGCATGCCGGCTGCAACTTTCTAACTTTCTGTGTGGCAACAAACCCAAATACAAGCATTTAATCGCCACCTAAAGGGCCTGAGGGAGAAATGTAATGTCTTACTCTTGTTTCAATGTCTGCAATTTGAAAACTACGATCATATTGCAGGTGCAATTAATTCCCAGCCGTAAGGAATTTATATTTCAAAGGAATATTAACTGCTGAAGTGATACCTGAAGTGTTTATAATAGTGAAACTATTATAGTGGGATTAAAAATGTTTTTTTATTACATTTAATTCATGATTAAATGAGTGGGGTGGTCATTGTGTAAACAAAGGTTTTATCCATTTGATTAGCAGAATTATGAAATAATGAGGGATGGAAATGGAAAGAAAGCTGCAAACGTTTAGTTTTAACACAACCAATATAAAATCAGGGCTAATCTACCTGTAGCTCCACTAGAGGGAAACCTAACCTCTGTCCTTATTCTAAATCCTCTCCCTGTTGCTCTTTATTCCTCAGGAAAATACATAGCTGCAACTCAGCGCCCCGATGGGACGTGGAGGAAGCCGAGGAGGGTGAAGGATGGTTACGTTCCTCAGGAGGAGGTCCCCGTGTAAGTGCTTTACACGCTCAGTAATTATACGCTGTTTTTACACGACAGCAGAGGCCAGAAAGTTTCTCACCTCCTGAATTACACGGCTGGTTATGAATGAGGCTCAGAGAGATCTTTAACATTAGTGGAAGTTTCTATGTTTGTCTTTAAAGGGGACGTGTCACGCTAAACTGATTCTTTAGTCCTTAACCCTTTATAGGGCAACTTGCTGTTTTTGATCACTTTGATTATATCCAGGAATTCAGCAAAGATGCTGCTACATGGCTGGACATCTTATTTTGGCATTTGACCAATTAGATGAGCCCTGAATCATATATGACCTACTGGAGATTAAGTTGGAAAACAGTTAAAAAGTCAAGAAAAAAGGTAAAAAGTTTAAAAAAATAAAGTAAAAACACAGTTAATAAGCCCAGTTAACAATTATATTTAGGTCTATAAACTAAAAAATGTCAGTGCCAGTATCAACATTAATGCCTCTAAGGTTAAGTTGGACGTGTTTTTTCTTATAGAATCACTTTTGTTATTTTTTCTTAATATATTCAGGCAAGTTGGCGTTTCTTGTTATTACATTGACATTAATCTTTGCTATCAAAATATCCATATTTTTTAATCTTACAAAGGTAATAAGGTCTGCCCTGGATTCCAATAACACTATTGGCTTGAAACTTGGATTTCCTGTAAAGGGTTAATGCAGGGCTCCATGTTAACCATCAAGTAGTTTTTGTTGTTGGGAGAGTACAAATTTAATTGCCTTTCCCCCGGGGAAGTGCAATGATCGCAAAAAAATGTATTTATCACTCAAAATTACTTTAAAATCACCGACATTCGCTGAAAACGACCCAGAAGCGTTGCCGGCGCCATCTTTGTTGTTTTGTACACATTCTCGCGTGATTTGAAAAAGCAGCGTGATTTTCCGCTAGATGACGTGATTTTTCTCTCCTTGGGGAGAGAATTCTGCAAAGCAGCTGGATGATGAATTTAATCTATACTATAATACACGCTAGATTAAAAACGATCAGTCAGGGATTAGGAAAATAATAATTGTATGTGCAAATATTTCTATCATGTGGCAGTCTTCTGTACAGTGGTCATAAATGTTCATTAAATGTTTTTCTCTTAGACATCTCAGTGGTGCATTTAAATGTTATAGAGCTAAACATGTTAAATTGGTGAGTAGTAGTAGTGTAAGTTTTTAACCTGTCAAGTTTTTTTTTTAAAGTTTAAAGCAAAGTTTAGTTTGAAAAGAATGTGCAGGAAGGATTGAAAAGCATGTTAACACGGTAATGTAGGCTGGAGTTCATTATCTGACGCATGCAGATACACACCAGGAACCTGGAAACTTAAAAAATACTGAATTACAAAGAACATTTAAAAAACAAACATGTTTCATTGATATATATACAAAAATGAATATTAGGAACCAGAGACGGGAAGTAACGAAGTACAAATACTTCGTTACTGTAGTCAAGTAGATTTTTCTGATATTGTTACTTTACTTTACTACTTATTTTTATGGCGACTTTTTACTTCTACTCCTTACATTTTTACACAAATATCTGTACTTTCTACTCCTTACATTTTAAAAAATTGTCTCGTTACTTTAGTTTTGAATCATTTCAATGGAGTTACCGTTATTATTTTTCACGTCATCAATACCAAATTCAATCTAATTGGATGGGAATCTACGTTGCATTTGACGCACCGCTACAAGATGAATCGACAGATTCGGCGGTATTCATTGGCGGCGAATCATTGCAGCTTGGTGGCGGTGGCGTTAGCATAGTAGCATGGACGACGAGATGATTGAAAATGAACACAACGGAGATCTGGTCCTATTGGCAGACATCCATTTAAAATGTAGGCAACGGCATGAAAAAAGTGGTTTCTACTTTTACTTTTATACTTTAAGTAAATTTATAAGCCTGTACTTTGTTACTTTTACTTGAGTAAAGAAGTTTAATCAGTACTTCCACTTTTACCAGAGTATTTTTTAACACAAGTATCTGAACTTTTACTCAAGTACGGAAAGTGAGTACTTTTGCCATCTCTGTTAGGAACTATATTTATCAAACATTATACTGGGCAAGTAAAAAATGTTTCTGGGCAAATGAAATGTGAAAGTCACTTGCCCAAAGGGCAAGTGGTAAAAATCCTTAACGTCAACCCTTGTAATGCATTTTCTTTTTTGCAAAACAAAGTGGAACTTATTATCCCCACATGCTGCATTTATAGTTGAATATTCTAATATGGCTTTAATCTTTTAATATGTTCAGTTTTCTGTATTACGTTTTGGATCATTAACCCTTTAAGGCCAAAGGATTTTAAGAGCAATATCTGTCTGAAATTACATATTTGATTAAATCAAGTGTAGCTCTAAAGTTATAAAGTGGAAATGTAAAAATAATATATTTGATACAAAGTTATTAAAGAATATTTTTCAAGTGGAATCATTATTGAAAGAGTCATAATTTAATATATAATAAGTAATCAATATATAGAACTATATATATACTATAGATCTATAGAACTACATCCTAACAATGACTGCAGCAGATTTGGACTGAATCAGTTGAAGCATTTTTGCTTCAGAGGTTTTAGTAGACAGTAAGTTCTTCACCTACTTTTTGTTTGTTTTTTTTTGTCTCAGGTATGAAAACAAATATGTGAAGTTTTTTAAGAGCAAACCTGACCTGCCCCCCGGCCTGAACCCGTCGGAAGCGGCTCCACCGAAGCAGCAGCAAAAGATCCCGGGCTGCGGCGACAGCGAGACGGCCGGCCTGTCAAAGTCGGCCAAGCGCAACATGAAGCGGAAGGAGAAGCGGAAACAGCAGCAGCACCAGGAGCTGGACGGCGACACAGAAGTGGATTTGGTGAGCGGCGCCGTTGAGAACGTGTCCATCTCAGAGAGGGAAGAGTCGGCGAGTAAAACACAGAGCGCCGCGGCGACCGATGAGTCGCCGGCAGCGGAGGCTGAAAAGGCCAAGAAGATAAAGAACCTGAAAAAGAAGCTGCGGCAGGTGGAGGAGCTGCAGCAGAAGGTGGACTCTGGGGAAATAAAGCAGCCGACCAAGGATCAGCTGGAAAAGCTGGGTCGGGCCGAGGCTCTACGGGAAGAGCTGGAGCAGCTGGAGCGGGATTCCTGAACCGGAGCGGGATTCCTGAACCGGAGCGGCTCCGGCGGACTGGACCTGTAAACGAGAAACAGGAAGGGACGTTCATCATGAATGGTGGTGGTACACAGCTCTAAGGGACGCTGCAGACATCACATCTGCTTTTAGTTTTAGTTTCTCTCCTGTAAACTGATGTACTTCCTAACTTTGAACAGATCATGATTTTTCTTTTTTGTGCTTCTTTGTTTTTTTTTCGTTTTGTACTTTTTATGCCGTCTGAACCCACAGGATAAAAAAAAAAAAAATTCCCTTTTTTCCTTTGGACATTAGTTGTGTTTAAACATCCTTTCATTGTCGCTCTGATGTCACGTCGCCACAGTAGAAAAAAACTTCCTGCCTTTTGTGTTTTTGTCTTTTATTTTCAGGTTTTATTTCCTACAGTAGGTAACCTGGACGCTCCTGCAGCCTGCAGGGCGGAGACACTGGAAAAGGCGCGTTTTTGTTCTTCATGTTAATAAATCCAACGATTGAAATAAAAAAATTTGAACATCTCCCACCAACTAGTATTACACATGTAGCTGAAGACATATTTGCTGAGTTGGAATTCAGCGGCTGCGTCCCCTGAAGGCCGTCGGTCGTTGGCGTCATAGCACGGCGCCGCGGTCTATCAGATTGAAAGACTCCTCGCTATGCGGCGAACAAATGCATCCTTCTTTTTGCCCGTTTTGAGGGACGCTGTAGCCTCATTGCGAGTCCAAGCAAGCCGGCTGCTCCGTGCTCAGAGGGAAAAAGGCAAATGGTGTCAAACGGTGAATCTTGGAAGTGCAGTTTAATATAATCCAAGTATGTGAATAGTTTAATCTGGGATGGACTCAGTAACCATTTAAACATCTTGTTTTAATGGTTATTGAGTCCGATAATGTGGCGGTAATGTTTGGTTTTTTTAAATGTTTTTATCTGTCCCTGTATAAAATGTGTTTGGCTGATATTTAAGCTCAGATTCCAACATCTCTGCAGGGTGGGGACTATAAATCTGATATCTAGGATGACCGTACTGCTGCTGAAGCTCCTCAGAAAAGTTATCAGCTCCCAGGAGAGTAGGGGAAAGTTTAGGATCCATTCTTTTCCTGCTCTGTATGTCACGGTTGCTACGCGACAGAGCGTCCAGGTGGTGTAAGCCGAGGAAAGTTGAATCCATGCCTAAAACTCTTGTGGACTCCTTTTTTTCATGGACACACCCATTTTTTTCTTTCATGGAGCTCAATTGTTGGTCAAAACAGAATAAAAACACTTGTTAGAATAAAGTTGATCTTTTTTTTTTTGGTTTTCTTTCTCATCACTTAACCTGAGCTGATAATCTTTAAACAGAAGGATTGTTAATCTAAGTTAAAGTAGACAATTCATTAAAACAACAAAAACATCAGCTGCAACAATTAATGAAAGATCCATACATAGAATGTATTTCAGAAGATGAAAATCTTATATTTTTATTTTTTCATTTTTGTTGAGATAGAAACGTATCTAATACTGTGTTTAATTCTCCTAGTCATGGTTTTCTTACAGCTAATTAAAACAAATTACAATATAGTCGTAAGTAGAACTGCATCAAGACAATTATTCTTATTGCCACATTGCGAGATAGGACACAAGAAACAGGACAAAAAAAAACTGCATCACATAAACTTGAGCCTTTACAGTTTTTATGTCATGTTTTAAACGATAGAGCAAGCAGGAGCTTCCACTAATGTTTTACTTTAAATTTTATTTTGATGACTCTTTATAGATGGAGAAGATGTTTCATAAACAATTATTCAGCTATTTAGAAAAGCAAAATGTTCTTTGTGAACAGCAGTATGGTTTTAGACCTGATAGCATCACTACCTTAGCACTAGTAGCCCTTCTAATAAAAATATCAAATGCCATAAATACTAAACAGCATGCTGTCGTTGTGTTTTTAGCTTTTGATTCAGTGAATCATAAATTGCTTCTCCAAAAACTTCTTAGAGGCGTGACCTTTCCTTTCCTCTGGACTGATCTGAAGAACAGATCCCAGTATGTCCACATCAACGGCACAGATTCCCAGCTGCTGACCTGCGGTCGTCCTCAGGGATCGCGGTTTTTGTTCCTTATGTATATTAATCATCTTTGCTTGGTAATCACAGACAAAAACAGCAGTCATGAATAACATAAAACAAAAACATAAAAAAGATGCTATAAAATGAATTAGAAATGAAAATAGTACTTTGTTCAAATATAAAGTCTGTGAACAGGAAGTTTTAAGCAGAAACCAGGACTTTTCCCCATGATCATGGCAACTCAGTTATCCTGCATTTAATAGCGAATCTGTAGAGGGCTGTGAGGAGGCTGTCCAGAGGCTAAAGCTGCAAAATATGTTGGATTTAAAACATTGACTCAAAGCAGTCTGATGTGATGCAAAGGCCTGAACTGATGCAACGTTAATGCATTCAAATTCTGCATTTCAATAAAACATTTGGCCTGTCAGATGGATCTTCACTGGCCTCAGATGTTATTGGAATATTTAGCAATATGGTAGTTATTGATTGATTGACTTTATTGATCTGAATGTGGGGACATTTACTCGTTTAATCAGCTCAGTAGTCAAAAAGAAGCAGGGATTAAATTATTCCGGCCCCAGGCTGGATCTCCGGGTTGTAGCGATTGCCCGTGGGTAAAAAAAAAAAAAATAATCACTCGAAAAAAGGTAAATAAATTTTAAAAAAGACAATGGTAATCCCTCTCGCGTTTGTCAGCCAATGGTAGCAAAGGAGCGCTCTGAAACTAACAGCATTAACCAGAGATGGCAAAAGAACTCACTTTCCGTACTTGAGTAAAAGTACAGATACTTGTGTTAAAAAATACTCTGGTAAAAGTGGAAGTACTGATTTAACTTCTTTACTCAAGTAAAAGTAACAAAGTACAGGCTTGTAAATTTACTTAAAGTATAAAAGTAAAAGTAGAAACCACTTTTTTCATGCCGTTGCCTACATTTTAAATGGATGTCTGCCAATAGGACTAGATCTCCGTTGTGTTCATTTTCAATCATCTCGTCATCTATGCTACTATGCTAACGCCACCGCCACCAAGCTGCAATGATTTGCCGCCAATGAATACCGCCGAATCTGTCGATTCATCTTGTAGCGGTGCGTCAAATGCAACGTAGATTCCCATCCAATTAGATTGAATTTGGTATTGATGACGTGAAAAATAATAACGGTAACTCCATTGAAATGATTCAAAACTAAAGTAACGAGACAATTTTTTTAAATGTAAGGAGTAGAAGTAAAAAGTCGCCATAAAAATAAGTAGTAAAGTAAAGTAAAAATATCAGAAAAATCTACTTGAGTACAGTAATGAAGTATTTGTACTTCGTTACTTCCCATCTCTGGTATTAACCAATCAGAAGAAGGAGGGGGCGGGTCTTAGGAAAGCGTGTACCTCCTCCTCTCGATTCTTGCTGAAGTCACCAGATTGTGGTTCAGTGCTGAAGTTCCACACGTTCAACGGTGAGACGTGTAAAAAATCAAAAAATAAATGAAAGTTTGTGTTTGGAGAGCAGGACTCAATTTATGAACTCCAGGGAAGATGTCATGAAAGAACTAAATGCTGCTGGGCGTGGCTGGAGGAGGCGGGGCCAGATGGGCATTCATCAGCAGGTGCAGGAAGTTAGGTCAACCAGGCGCTTCCTTCTGCACGCTGTGATCCACGAAGCTAATTTACGCATCCAGCGGTAAAAAGGTTCTACGCAAACATGAATTAAACCCTGGTCATCAAGCTGCTGTTGTGAACACTACACGTTTGCCAGGAGCTACGGCAACAGCTGATGCACCAGCGTCAAAAACTGATCCGTGTATGAGAGTAAAAAATAAGGGTTTGTGTTTTACTCGCCTAACACAACGCTTAGCAACAAAACTGGACATCAAAAGAAATGTGGTTCATGCAAGTGGCAGATATAGATGCTCTTCTGCCATCTTCTGGCGGTCTTTGGTATTGGATTTTCAAAAGTCAAATTTAGTCTTCAGGCCCAGGATTTATTTTCTTTGCTTTAATCCCTGAAGAAGAAGGTGCTAAAAGGAGGAACAGGTGCATGGGGGGTAAATACAGTATATATGGTGCGTCTACATATATATTTAACAGCTGAAGTCTCTTATTTAGGGTCATAAAACAGTTTTATTGCACAGGCCATTAACATGGGTATTTATAGCTATTGTACTTGGTTTTAAATATAAGAAACAGGTTATTGCACAGGGTATTAAATAGTAAAGGCACATTAGAAATTGGACAAGTTACATTACATTGAAGAACAAGTTACATCACAGTAAAAAAAAATTCCAAAGCGTATATTTTGCATCTCTTCAGGCTTGGTCCTACAATCTTCTCTTCTACAAGCTTCAGAAACAATCCTGGACCTGATGGAGTAAAAAACAATTTGAACCAATGAATTCACCACTAAATGAGGGTTTTTTAACCAGAATGTGATATTTTCTACTATTTTCTTTCATAAAAAGTCTTTACAAAGCTTCCTAAGTTGGGGATTTCTTCAAACACTGGATATGGATAGATTTCCTTTTATTTGACTATCAGCATGTCAGTGCCCGTATTGTGCTTGAAAAGAGGCAATAAAGTGTAATCCAAGCACAGTCAGGCTTTTCCTGCCTCTTTTAATCCACAAAGAAGGATTTTTAGACCACATTTAGACATCAAAGGAAACTTTGGGACAGTTTTTATGATGATGTAGAAATAACCCTGATTGTCGACTGTTGGAGAAAACAGCAAAGCTGAAGCGTGCAGATTCACACAAAACTCAAATATGGTAACAGAAATAAGAATAATAGACAGTATAGAAGGTAGAAATAATACTTTACAGATATTGGAACCATGATGGAGTTTTGCAGACAGTCCAGTCTTAGAAAAAAAAAACAACCGTAGAAAAATATGCAGATAGAAATGTCCCTGAAACAAACTGAAGGTTCTAACTTGATGCAGAGTCGTTCGACTTTCTCCTTTATTAGTATTATTCCAGTTGGTCATTAATTATTCCATTCATCTTAATGGAAAAAATAGATTAGAGTGTGAATATTTTCTGACAATTTAGCATGTCTACTGCAATCACTGAGCTCTTTAAATGCCTCACAGTGTGTATTGAGTGAAAAGCTGTGCATCTATGAGTGCCAGTGGGTTATTGTGGTTTGTGTTGTAAAGCACTAAGTGGTCAACAAGAATAGAAAGGCATCGCATGAATGCTGCTGCCATTTCCCTCTCGCTTATGATTGCAGTTAACTTAAAGAGGTCGCTCCAGTGCTTTGAGTAGATTCGTTTTTAGAGATAACGAGCAGTCAGTATCTTACCTCTGGTCGATAACACAGGTATCTTGACCTTGATTAAATTCCAAGTTTTAGAGCCTAAATGCATATCCAAATCAAAAAGATTAAAAGGTAATTTACCAGGAAATCTTGGATATTTACAAACTAGTTGAATTTTTACATTGGAAGCTAATTGTAAAAGTCATATATGAGGGACTCAGGCATCAGAAAGCAGAATTCCTAAGGATTACTCAGACATGCATAAATCCAGTGAAAGTCTGGGCATTGCTGTTAATGAAAGAATAGCCCTATAACATAGTTAAAAGCTCACAGGATTGGCATATGTGGCATGGTACATTACAGGGCAGGGTTCCATCCCCAGACCAGTGAAAATATTACATGCTGACCAGTCAGTCAAAGGGATATCCCACTGACCAAGTAGCCAAAGTGCATCATCAGTCAGAGGCATAGTGACGGGAGCCTACACTGTCGCATATGTTTTCAGCATAAAGAGGAAGAGACGTGTTTTTGATTTTCTGACCCATTATGACTCAAACCCAGTGTCTTTAAGGACAGAGTTTGAAACATCCATCCACATGTGTACTAGGGGTGGGTATTGCCAAAGACGTCACGATTCGATTCGAATCACGATTCACAGGCGACGATGCGATTCTATCACGATGCATCACGATACATGAATTATTGCCATGCATTGCAATATTTTCTCCTCCATGTTTAGTTTTTGAATGACTCGGCACAGTTCCCCGCTGCCGGAAATGCTTGTGACACAAGGCAGCGTGCGTCAACACATCCGCAGCGACATCTACTGGACTGGAAGTTGTATTACACTTGTTTTTGGCTGATGTTCGCCAACCATTCATGCAATTTTATTCATTAATTTTTTTTAATTAATAATCGATACTTGCCGTCAAGGATCGATGCAGTAGATCACGAAAATTAGAATCACGATGCATCATCATGACGATTATTTTGCA